TCTGCCTCCTGGTCACCTCTCCTTTGGGTGCCAGCTGGGTTGACTGTCCCGCTCGCCTTGTTTCGGTCCTCCAGAGATGGGTTTTAAGGAGCCTGGGCTTGTGGAGGGTGTGCAGGAGGATGGTGACATGGCCACAGGTGCAGGAAGTCCTGGCAGAAACCAGCCATGGGGCCCTGCAACCGCTTGTGCATTGTGGGAGAAAAGTCAGTCCAGGGCGGGTGAAGGATTTCTTTAACCAAGCCACAGTCTTCACCCTTAAGGTTTCTGGTAAAACCGATCTGTTGTCTCATGCAAATACATTTACTGGCTTTAGCAGAGGAGGAAGCATCCTCCTGCCAAGTCACAGGTTTCAAAGCACTTTGGCATCCCCAGAAAACAAACAACCCTGAGCTTGCTGCTTCTTTTTTTCAGGCCAAAGCACAGTTTGCAGCATGGTGTGCAATCTGAGCATGCAAAGCAAAGCTACCTCATGGGGCTGTGCTGCTTTGGGCTGAAATGGTTTGGTTTTGAAGCTGTGGATAGATCTGCAGAAGAGGTGGAGGGAAAACAGCACTTGAGAATTTGGGAATCTTTGATAGACTGAAGTCAGATACGGTTTGTGTTGCAAACTGAACCAATGGATAAAGATTTAAAAAAAAAATAAATTCAGAAAATTGTCGCTTTTTTGCCTAGCACTCAGCAAACCTGCAGCCATGGGTCCCTTCCTCCCCACACCCCCTCCCCAGCCTTCCTTTGACCTTGGGGTGCTCAGTCAGGGCTGCACACAAACAGCTCTGTTCAGATGCGTTATTTTATTCTCTTTTCTACAAATCGCGCAGCAAGCTGCACTGACGCAGCCCGCAGGGATTTGGTTCTCGCCATGGGACACTCTGTTTCAGAGCAGGACAGTGAGCAGCAAGCAGCACCGGGCTCTTTGCACTTTACAGCCTTGGCTTTTCATAACGAAATTTCAGAGCTCACGTGCATGGGGGCTGTGACAAAAGGGGATCTGCTTAATTTCTCTCAAGTCTTGATCAGTCTTGCTGGAAAGTGTTGTTTTCTCCATGGCATTGCTGTAAAAAAAAATCAGCAAAACAACCCAGAAGAAAAGCTGTGATCTGACATTGCCTCTCTATGATATTTTTACAGGTGATTTTTTTGGGTTTTGATTTTTAGAAGTTTTTCACAGAATGTTGATTATTTTCAAGACTTTTGGCAGGATGTACTATTTTCTTCCCACTCTTTACATTTAGGACTGCAAAACTCCTTCTTACAGCTTCTTTTTTTATAAAGTAAAACCTTGAACGGCAATGAAACTTGTATAGTTTTAGGAAGTTGTATCGCTCTCCACAAAATATTCTAGATTTTGACTGTAATGGCCTTGGTTTTAAAGCCATGCCGAAAGCTTCTTTTGACACCTATAGTATATTCTCTAAATAGCGTTGAAAATGTGATCTCTGTAGATCTGTTTTCTGCTTCTGATCAACTCAATGGATGTTTGAAATGGGAAATGAAATACAAGTGTCCTGAACAACTGGGCACAGAGGTGGTAGTTCCTTCCAGAGGATGCAAACTGTCACTATCACTTATTTCCCTCTGCAGAATTTAATATATTATTACCTGCTTATACACTAAGAGAGTTTGGCTTTAAGTGTAGTGTGATGAAAATATGAAATGTCACCGCCAAATTTGTTTGAACCATCATTCCACTAAGTTTGGGGTTGTTTTTTTAATGGTGAAGGGTACATGTCACTGATAAAATTTGCAGAAATTCCTATATACTTTGAAATATTTTCTCAGGTGTTTTCTACAAGAGCTTCTCTCTAAAGAGTACTAATATTCTTACTAATATAAGACAGGCCCACTGCTTTTATTTTTTGCCAGAAGACATAGACTCTTACACATAAGTCGGTTATCCTGAATCTTCCCAGGATAGCAGAGATTATCTTACACAAGTAGGACAAAAAAGAATGATATGATTGCAACACTGGGAACAAGAATTGCTTCTGTGCAATATTGTAAGAGGTCATAAGGAATCAGACTTTATTGAAATGAGCAAGCAGGAAAAGAGATAACATGTTTAGTATGCGTAAGCAAAAATTATAATCAACCTTATAATAAATTTATAAGCCTCATATAGGATTTAATCCAAGTCTTTAAAAATCTGTGGCGTAACATCTCTTGGTAAGGAATAAAGGAAATTGCTTTGCATCAGAACATAAATCCTGGACTGCATAATTGCAATTCCTGGACTGCAAAGCTGGTGTCTATTTTACATCCAGAGCTGCAAACCCTCTGCTTAAAATTTGCTTTTATTCTCTTCTAACTGCAGTGCCATTTCCAGCAAACACCCACCTACGTTTGCTGGAGTCTGCCTGGCATTCGGGCACTTTTTCTGAACTCGGGGTTTCCTCCATCATTTGCTCTTTTACAGGGTCTGGATCAGACCAAATCGGTGCCACTTCCCTGTTTCCCATAGCGCTTCTTTCTTCTCCTTAAAAACAAAACATAGGTGTGTGATGGCGGGAACAGCTCCTGTAATGCCTACTTAAATACACAAGCATGGCGTAATGGACACCCGTTGTTACCCAGATTTGTTCTTGTGAATAATATATAATTTATACTTCTGAATAATATTTCCACTCACTGCTGTCCTCACTGAAGGTTTTTGTCCCTAAATTTATCTCTATAGGCACAGTATGTTATAGAACAAGATATCTACGCATGTATTTTTGAAAATCAGTCATTAGCAAGGATTTCTGGGGCAAGTCTTTGTCAGTTTTGCACGGAATGCATTGGATTCAGCCCTGAGAAGCCGCCTGGCATGTAGCCGCTCACATCACACAGGTCCCTGCCCTTTATACCTCAGGATTTCCGAGCACTCATGGAGCCGTAAATCTTCTCTACACAAAAACTCAATCTGGCTTTCAGTGGGGCTTCAGAATTTCCACTTCCTTCATTTGCTTTTTGTTTAAACACATTAAAAAAAAAAGAAGCGACTTTTTTAGGACGTGTGTCTCTAGAGATGGAAATCCTCAGTGGATCAGACTGCAGCTCTTGGAAGTGAGAAGCTAAACCACTGCAAAACAACAACCGCAACCCGAAGGTGTCTGGCCAACTTACCCATCTCCTTTTGAAGCTTTATTTTGGTCAGGGCAAGAAGGGTGGTGGTGATGAAAAGCAGTAAAATGAGAACTGGTACCACCACTGGGAGCAGATGTGATTCACCTGATGAGCTGGAAAGAGGAACCACCAGAATGAAACTGGATTTTGGCTCAGCTACAGGATGACTAAAGTGCCTTAATGCAGGCTGGTTTTTTACAAAAAGGAGTTAACTCTGAGTTAAGAGTTTCAAGATGAAACCATTTGATCTGGAGCTGGCACATGAGGAAGCAATTTATACACCAGCCTCTACTGTGTGGGGTTTGTGCTGTCAGCTGAATGCACCCCTCCAAAAGGAAAATAAGCAAATTTTCATTGTACAATGGTGCAAAGTCTGACTCTTTATACAAAGAGCATGATTTGTGATTTGTAACATGTTCTACTCTGGGGATGAAGACGATGGTGCTTCTCGTGCTGGGGGTCCCCGGGGCAGATGCAAGCTCCGAGGTGCATGGAGGGGCAGCTCAGGATGTTGAGCTGGATTTGTGGGCTTTGTGGTGTCTCTCCAGTTATGGCTGATACCACAACATCTGATGGATCTGCACCGGCTATGCAAATCGCCGCACCCAGTGCTGGATGGTGGCCACAGCTGGAGTGAAAGGTGCAAGAGGTGCTCGTGGCCATCCTGCTTAGCAGGAAGCGCAGGAGCTGAAGGCACTGGGGAAACCACAGGGCTTTCTGTAGAGAAGTACCATGGAATAATTGCTGGCCAAAAGAGCTCACAGCCTTTTGATTAACCTTGCCCAAAGACAGCTCTTTATGCAACAGAGCACCCAAACACTATCTGGGTTGCTGGCTGCCTACTGGGGCTGGGATAATGTGTGCAATGAAGTATGCTGCAGCTACTGATTCACCAGCGCTATTGCTCAAGCTTGATGTTTCCTAATATCATGGCTCCCTGCTGAGCAAAGGAAAACAGACAGGAGCCCATCTATTGACTCTGGCATCTGAGCCACAGGAGTGGTCAGCACCAGAAGATTTAGAGACAAGTTCAAAGACATGTGCCAAAGACAGATCTGAGATGACTTTACCATCTGCTTCCCTAATTACTAATGTCTCCTATCTGTGTTTTCAACTTGCAACCTGTGCACAACCTATGTAGGGCCCTGAGAAATGGAACAGACAGGTTGTAAACCATCAAGTTAGTGCTAATGAGAAACGTGGCCATGAACCTACCTCTCATGATAGATTTCTCCTGGGGAGGTTATGGAGGTGCCGGGGGTGGCAGCGGGTGGCAGGGTGCTGGTGCTTGCGGTGATGGTGCCCATCGTGTACATCAGGCCCACTGTGCTCCTCTGCGTGGGCATGCTGTGAGCGGCCGGACTTGATAAAGTGGGTTTCACAAGAGTGGATGTTTCTGGGGCATGTGAAGAGTAGGTTTCTATGGAGAAAATTATTATGAGGCTTTTGAATATCCATCTTTTTGCACAGGCAGCACGTTAGATTTACCAAAGATTCACGCATTTCACCTTGCATCTCGTTATGAAAAAAATATGCAGCAAGATACGACCAAAACAAAGCATTTCTATATTCCTTTTGAGTCTTATAGAAAGCAGCTTGGGAGTACTAAAACCCATTATGCAAACCCATTAATACTTGGCAAACGTTCATGCTTTAACCCCAGTATTTCTGTGTTTGCCAGCTGAACAGTTACGTGGACCTGTGTATTTACATGCTGCAGATTCCAAAACTGCAAGACAACCTTCAACTTATCTTCAGAGCAAAGCACGTGTCTCTGTGCTGCACTTGCTAAGATCAGATGTCATATGCTAGGGGTTTGCATCATAAATAATCTATAGCACAATTCAAACAAAATTTCCTCCAAAAGCTTACATCTCTGCCACTGAAAACCTTTACTGTCACCTCAGTGATTTGCCAATAGCTGTAAGGCAAAACAAGTAGCTGTTGTTTCTCTTAATGTTGTTATATTACTGCATAGTACAAAGCAGAGTCTATTCTCATGCCCATAAAGCGGTAAAGAGTGATTTAAAAAAAATAAAAAGGATTTATTGTGTTCCAGGCCATCCCACCACCTACCCCTCTGGATGTGCAGCTTCACAGAGGATGTGTGCTCGGTGTGCCCGTGTTGAGCTCCGCACCAGTACCATCCTGCATCCTCCCCTCTCAGACGGCTCATCACCACCGTGTAAGTCCCATTTTCCTGATCACTGCTGGTTATTTGCATCCTCCCTTTGTGGGACTCATGCACAAACCCATCCACATCCACAAGCAGCGAGCAGGCAGCTCCCTTCCACCTGCACATGTACTTCTTCTCGTAGTTACCCTTGGGATCATAGTGGCACTTGAAGGACACGGAGCCTCCGACTGTGCCGCTCAGAAATTTCAGTCGCTGGGGAAGGGTGGAGGCTGCGGGTTGGAGAGAAAGGCATCAGCATTCCATGCTCCTCATCTGGGGCTGGAGGAACACATGCAGCCCCCAGCACCCCATCCTACCTGTGGTCACCTGCAGAGCCACCACCCGCAAGCTGTCCCGACTGCTAAACCTTCCCGTCCCACACATGTAGAGCCCTGAGTCTTCTTTTTTTAAGTCACTTATCAAGACTTTGAAAGCTCCAGAGCTCTCCCGTGGGGTGATGGAGATTTGTCCTTGGTAATTCCTTTCCACATAGCCGTTGGTGTCAGCTATGAGAGTGCAGCCAGTTCTCCCCAGTTTGCACCAGAACCTCTTCTCATCACTTTGAGTGTCACCAGGTGGGCACAGGACTGTGACAGAGCCGTGGAGCTGCCCCCAGATGAGCTCAGCTGGCCGCGGTGCATCGGCATCTGCAGGGAGAGAGCACAGCAAGGACCACCTGGTGCACAGCCAGGCAGGAGGAAGTTTCCTTTTCCATTTATGAACAGCTGATTTGGTCAAATCTGGGTACTTTTATACCCCATTGGTGTAAATATCTGGTTAATATCACAAGGCAAAAGAAGTCAGTGGGCTTGCTGTGTCCAGGGAGCAGACAGCATGAGCTGATGCTCCAGCATTCCTCCCCAAATGGGGCTGCCGGCAAAACCTCCCCTCTCCCTTGCCATCATCCTACCTGCCAAAACTGTCAGGTTCAGGCTGACATAGAGGCCCCAGTTGGTGGTGCCAATGCCACATCGGTAGATACCCGTGTCATTGCTCTTCAGCTCTGTCATCGTCACTGCAAAGGTGCCATTCTGGGGGGTGTCCTTGAGGAACACTCGCCCCGTGTGGTCCTGCGAGGTGTAGCCGGTTGTAGAAATGACGGTGTAGCAAACTCCTCTTGCTGCTATTTTGCACCAGTATTTTCGATCGTGTTTGTTGGCTGGGGTGATGGAGTAGAAGCACTGATGGGTGACTGATCCTCCAACCTCACCTGTCAAAAACCTGGATCCGAACAAGGTGCTTGAAACCGGCTCTTTTGGGGAAGAAAGAAACAGAAGCTGTTGGTTTCTCAGAGACAGCTGAGCAAAAACCAGCAGAGCTCCTTCAAGGCAGGGGTGTGATTAGGAGTGGCACCAGTGGGACATCTGGCCATGAAAGTTTAGAGTTTATTTTGGATATGGTGTGTTACCTCCCTTGAGTGCCACATTATCCACTTGAGGATAACTGATGGCACAAGAGCCACTCCCCATGGCACAAATGGGGAAACTCTTGATGCCCCTTAAGGTTCCCCAAAACCCCCATCAGCCATGACAGTCCTGTCTGGAGTTAAATGTCAAGGGTAGAATTAACAGCAAATATCTAAGGACAACCTTTGGCATTTGTAAAAACTCTGCCTGATATGGCAACTTCCTTCTTCCTGCAGATGCCTTGTGCAGGCACATGTGGCTCTCTGCAGCACTGGGCGATGGAGAGCTGGGATTCTCCTTCCCAGCTCTTGTCATGCCCTTGTCAACTCTCCGCACTTCTAGCAGGCAGGGAGGTTTGACTGGTTTCCATTTTGCAGGTGGAGGTGTTTAGTGCCCAAGTGAAGATGTAAACAGGGATGTACCCATAACCCCAGGTCCAGCTTTGTCTGTTCCCATTGGCATCAGTGGCTGCAGAGCGGTTTCTTGGGGACTCACCTTGCAGCAAAACTGCCAAGAGCAAGAGAACCGTCATGGCCAGCTTTCACCAACGTTCCCTCGGCAAACTTCAAACCCTGCTCTCTGCGTATGGGATTTGGCTGATGTCTGTGCTGTTAAACAGAGGAGAGAGGTTGCAGCTGGGATCTGCCAAGGTAAACCACCCACGCTGCTCTGACGGCCGCTCCAACCAGGGCGCCTGCGTCCCCCATGGCTCCCAGCCCATGATACGGCCTAGCCCAAAGATGATGGGAATTTTAAACAGAAAAAAAGCCCTAATAGTGCTCTGCAGTGCTCACACTCCTGCATTAAAACCTTTGCTGTGTGGGTACTAATGTTATTGCTGGTAAGGAGAGGTCACCAGCAGCCATCAGATGTGGCACTTTGCTTGGTCCTGCCCTGCAACCTGCAGCATCAACTCATTGCTTTGCTTTTTTTCTTTTCTTTTTTCTTTTTTTCCAGCGCAAGAAACAATTGGAAATGTTGCAGGTCTCAGCAATGCCAACATCCTTAAACATCACCTGCCATGCCCCAATTAGCTTTCTTCCTTATTTTCTTCCCTGCAATTTATCTTTGTACAGCTTTTTATCCACTCTCAGATCTGACCAGAAACAGTGTTTGGGTGTCCCTATTTCAGGTAGGAATTGCTTCCTTGTTTGAGTTAAAAATTTACTCTTGATTACTGCAAAGTTTTATCCCAAAAAGCCTTCACTGAGATTCTTTGTCTGAGATATGCCTAGCCCCCACTGCAGCTAAAACCTTGGGAGGTGCAAATCACCTACGCTGGGGATTATGTGCATCCCCCCAAGCTGCAAACTCAGCTCCCACCCAGCTCTGCCCTCGGCTCCACAGACGGGAAGTGTGGGGCGGGACGGCAGAAATACTCTCTTCCCATTTTGGAGTTGGCTGACATGCTGCGGTGGTGCAGCTGGCACTGCATCCCCTTCACACACATTTGCATCCCTTCACATATATTTCCCTCTGTTTTTTTCCCCCATGTATGAGGCCGTGGAGGCAGCTTTGCTGTGCAGATGTGTGTGTGTGGGTGCACATCTGTCTGCACACAGCAGCTTTCTGTGTCCTCAGCAAACAGCAAGGAAGATGTTTGAGTCATTCCGAGTTGGTCACTGTGCGACTTCAGCAGAGCCTCAGTAGCGTCCTCGTTGCAAATTGTGCAAAATCTCTTTGCTGGGGCATGGCCAGTTAAAAAATGGTGAGTTTTATTCAGTGCCATAATGCCCACCAGTCTGGAGAACTTGAAGCAAAGAAGCGTTAACAAAAATGACCTGGAAGAGCTGGAAGTTCTTATTTACAACTAGAAATCAAGAAAAATATTATCCTTATGTTCGTTTCATCTTTTCTGACGTACACTGCTACAGCTGAACCTATGCACTCCCCCTCTTCCTCATTTTTGGGTTAGGGACATGGAAAGTCCTGGCATGCTGCAAGCAGTGAAGCAGTTGCCACTTTGCCAGCTGGAGGCCACCAAGTGCTGGCCCGGATGATGTGATCCTGATGTTCAGGTCAGCGTCTGAAGGAGGCTTTTCGTCCTAAATCGATGTATTCTGGGCTGGCATTAACATGCTGGTATCTCCTCAGCATCAGGTCATTAACAGCAGAGATGTGAAGTACCAACAAGCTCCCTGTGCCCACTTACACCATCACCCAGCTGCAATCTTCTTAAGATTATTCGCAGCTACTTCACACTCCTTATTAGTTTTATTTTTTTCCTGTCTTCATTTCAGCTTTGTATTGTGAAAATGTTTATGTGATCGGTTTTCTGCACCTGCCTGATTAAACCATTATCCTGCCACCATCCAAATGGAGCTGCTATATAGCAGGGCAGGGTTTCTCTGTATGGGCTTGCATAAGAATTTACCTTGTCCACATAATTTTTGTGTGCTCTTGGCAAAAAAACCCTGTAATCTAAGGTAATTTATACCTTTAGGGAAAAAAAAAAGCACACTACCTTTTTTTCTAAAAAAAATTGCCATAAATGAGTTATACGACACTTATTGCTATAGAAATAATTATTTTAAACTTCAGATCTGTACCATACCATAAGTGAAATCCATCAAAGTAGCTCATAAAATTGCTATTCAATAGCATTGTATTCCTAATAGCATTTTAAGGGCAAATTTAGTATCACCTACCTTAGATTGAGATGCTTCTGTTGCTGGAAATTTTTTCCTGTTCTGCCTCCACTTTGTATTTAGTTTAGTAAAGTGGTTTTTTTCAGCTTGCAGTTCAGTGGGCCTTTGCTCAACTCTTGATATTTAATTCCTTTTTTAATAGATTGATGTCCAGAGTTTAAAAATGGATGCACTAAAAACTTTCTTAAGTCCAGACGTACACTGCTGAGCAAACTGGAGATGGTCAAAATGCTTACAGGCACAGCAGAGGTGACATTAATGTATTAAGTATGGAACCCAAAAATGGTCATTTTTAGCTACCTACGGGAAGTGGTGGGGGGAAGAAAGTGAAGAGGCCAGGAGCAGAAATTGCAGGAGTATGAGAGGAATTCCCCTGCTCTCCAGACAAAGTGTTAACACAAAGCAACTGTTTTTAAACATTAGTATTAAAATGCTCTTTGCTGTGAACCACTTCCAGGCAGAACTTCACATAAAGTGAGAACTTTGCAGATGTTTCCTCAAACTTCTGGGGTTTGAATGAACCTGAGTGCTTTATGCAGCTCATGCCTGTCTTTTGCTCCCATACTCATTATGAATACAGCACAAAATGATGGTTTCTGCTTCAAAGTCTGTTATAAGCAATCCCTGCAACAAGAATGAAGCAGGTGACAATGCCATGCTGGTGCAAGCACTGTTTAACCAACACACGCTTTCATTTAGCCTGGCCTTTCTTGTCCCTGTAACACTGCTTTGCCTCGCAGAGTGCATCCATGAGGACATCACCTTCATGACCAGCAAAGCTCTGGTAGCCCATCACAGGTCTATGGAATGGCACTGGGAAACACAGGGCACTGGTGGTTCCTCAGTTTGTGTGTTACCCCAGAGCCAGCCCAGCTCCAGTGTTCCGTGCTGACATGATCCCAGTTTCAGTTAGTAATTTCTCCCATTAGCGTGACCATATCAGATTGTTGCAGCATGGCCTGATTGAACCAAATTGCCAATGAGCTAAACAGATCAAAGCTGAGAAATCAAACTAGTGTATCACTAAGGTACATGGTCTTTACTTAGCAATATCTTTAAGTTCCCTTTCTAAGCTGTTATTTTGTGGTGAATAATTTCCCTTTAAATTTAATCTTGCTGCATTTTAACCATTGCATGGTTAAAACTTGTCAGCTGGTGGCAAGAAAGGCACCATCATCCCCAGAGCTCTGCGTGGGTACAACCCAAACCCAGGTGTGTTTGAGGCACGTTCATCGTTGTCTCACAGGCTCGGAAGATATAACCAAGGGCAGTTTGTTCACGCAAACACACACACACACACACACACACACACACACACACACACACACACACACACACTTCCTTTTTTTGCACTAACCAAATAATCTTAATTGAGAGAAGTGCAGATGTGGCGATAGTTATTTCAAAACTCTGTAGGTATAGTAACAGTAGTGTTATTGCAAGGGAATTTGGTTTGGCTTTCTTTCAAATAAAAATTACTGATGGGAAAAAAGAAATAATGCTCCTGTGCCACTCCTGAGAATGCCCTGAGCTGGTGCCAGTGCCCTGCATGTCTGCAGGACAACGCTGCCTGGGTGAGATGTGATTTGGTCTGGGTGCTCACAGGGGAGTGGATAGAAACAGCTTTGATGTGACCCTGAGGTGTGCTGGAGGGGCCAAGGTCCTGCTCTCCTCCCCCTTGTGCACGGGTATGCTTTGAAGGCGTATGGTGTTTTGTGTAAATCAATCATTGAAGCACTTTGGAATCCCTCTGCATGTAGATAAATCTCTGTTAAGCAGTTTTGTTTTCTTTATCATGATATGATTACTTATATTGCAGTAATTGTTGTTGTTTAGTACCAAACCTGTGCAATAAAGGTCCTGATATCGATTGGGCTTCAGCAGAACTAATCTGTCTAAGGATGTTTATTAACACATCAGTAGCAAACAAATGAGATTTCCCTTGTATTGGCAATAAAATGTGGTACAGAAACCTGACTGTGGGAAAGCCCTAAGGCTGCTCAGTGTCATTTCTCCATGCAGAAATGTTCAGTGTGAGACCCTTGATGAGCCCCCTCCTTGGTGAAGCCCTGCTGAGTGATGCTGAAGGCTCAGTTGATGCTTTGGGGTGCAGTTCTTTCCTTTGGCATCCAGATATGCTGCAGCAGATTTGCATTCAAGGCCCCAAAGCAGCAGCAGAGCTGGAGGCACTTCTGTGAGGAACAGTGGGGTTTGTAGGACTGAGCTGAGGAGTAGGGCTGAGCTGGTGCTGCTGGCAAGAGGGGTCTCCAATAGCCTGGCCACCCCAGTTGTCCCAGTTATTGTTGGGAAGTGTTCTGCATGCTCAAAGGTTGTTCTTGTAATTGTTTTATTGCTTCCAATAATGCAAAGCCTCCCTACCCTCGCAGCAGTGTTAATAATTAATTTTAACCGTGGCACTGGGTTAATTACCACATACCCTACCCACTCTTCTGCTGGCACCGGGTGTGCACTGCCACCCTGTGTTGCTGCCGGTCACCCGGTGTGGTGACACCGAGCTGCTGTTTGCACGAGGGACCCACGGAAAGGAGGGTCCGGGAGGGAGGGCGAGGGTCCTGAGCAGGGACACCCAGGCAGTGGAACAGCCCAGGCTCCCCTGTACATCCCCAGGGCTCGGTGGGTCTGGGCAGCAGACTTGTTTCCAGCTTTGTCCATTATGTCCGCAGTTCACATCTATGGTTTAAACCTGAGCAAAGAGGCTGTTCTCCTATTCAGAGCCACAGTTTGCCCCTGGAGCAGGCTGGAGCCTCTGCCCTGTAGCCCCAAGCGCACAGGTAGGGGAGGGGTCTGCGCTGCCATCTGCCGGTTTTCTTGTGGATCTGTTAGCGGGGGGACCCCCAGGGACACCCAATGCTCTGTGCCCTCGTGTTTTAGCAACGCACAGGTCTTCAGGTTGCTGTTAGCACCTCAGCACAGCCCGGCTGCAGTCAGGGGCGACAGGAATACATCGAAACAGCCCCTGCTCGCTCTGCAGCGCCCACGGGAGTTAATGGTTAAACTCCACCTAGGGCAGCTTCTGGAACAAGCCAGATCTGTTATCACTGTGCATAAACCCCTACGCGTGGAACAACAGTGACCCTTTCTGTCTCTTGCTGGGCTTTGAATTTGAAGGACATTTGAAAACAAAGCACAGCTGAGCTCTCCATGAAGCGGGAGCGGACTTGCACCCCTGCAAAGGGTGGTCCAGTGGCTCCCCGAGCCTGAACTGGTGGTTTCTGTGGTGCAGCCAGAGCAGTGACAAGGTTTGGGGGTACCTCTGCCTTTTCACTTTGAAAATGCCATTAGAAACACAGAACAGGAAAAAAAAGGTAATGGCGAGAAACGCAGAGTATTTTCTGTCACATCCCAGTAAGGCTGTCCTGGGTGTCACTCCAGCCACTCCTGCATTGATCTGAGCAGGACTCAGCCTGACCCAAGGTTACTCTTTGCGTGGTCACATTGCAGTGTGATGGGACAGCTCTGTACAGTAGCTAAAGCTGGGCTGAGGGGGCTTAGGAGGACACCAGTCCTCAGGGAATGTTGCTCCTATGCTTTAGAATCTGCTGCAGTGGTTTTTTTTCATGTAAATAACTGGCGCTTGCTTTGGTTGGTGTAATTGGAGAGATTTCTGGGCTTTGGGCTTCGGGGCACAGGGGCAAGGTGACACGAACTGACCCCCAGCAGCACCCCTGCACTGCCTGGTTTGATGCTCTCCAGCCGGGGGCGTGTTGGGCCAGCAGGAACCATCCCAAAATCCCCGCCTTCCGTGGCACTGCCAGCCCCAAGGCTCCCTAATGACACCCACACTGCTGCACTGCAGTGACAAATCTGTCATTAGGACAACTGATTTCTCCTGGGGACTGTGTCCCAGTACAGCTGGCAATCCTTGATACCGCCAGAATTCAACAAACCACTCCACCTGGATTTGATCTTTGTAATGAAAGACGTGCACAAGCATGTCTTTAATTGGGATAGTAGGTCTTGACAGGCTCATGTAGGCAGGGAAATGATACGTCTGAGCCCATATGGGACTGATAGTTAAAAAGTAGATGAATACTCCATGCAAAATGCAAAGCTAAGGATTTTCTTTGGTTCTTTTATAACATCGCTGCACTGCAATAACACAGTCTGTATAATCTGTATTAAGGCACTGAGGTTACATTTACCAACTCTTCAGGAAACTTCTGTAACATTATGACCTCTTTTCATGGCTGGGTTTTCGGTTGGGGGACTCTGCTGTGATTTTGCCTTCCAGGCACAAACTAACCAAATCATGCCCAGAATTGAGTCGTACAAAATCTGCTTTCAGAGGCAACAAGACAGCCTGGGAATTCTGCTGGGGTCTGGGTGAACCTGGAGGTAGATTTTGTTTCTGTTCTTGCTTTTCTCCCACCCATCTCCCAGGCACCCCCAAATGCCATTAACGGGCAGCTGTGTGGGTGTGGGTGGGCTGGAGGAGCACTGCTGAGGCAGCTGGTAGCTCATCTCACTGCCTACCAGCTTCTCCCCTTATAAAAGAGCAGCTCAGGCTCCTGCAAGTCTGTGGATTGGGGTGGCTTTGGTTGTTCCTCCATTTGGTGATGGTGGGGATTCTACAGGTGCTGAGCTGAGGAGCAACTCATTGCTGGAGCCTCTGCTGATGAGAGCTGTGGGCTGGAGCAAAGGTAAGGCTTTTCCTTTGATGCTGTGGATTATGGGTTATGCCATAACAGGAGAGCTTTGCTCCCTGTGGTCCTTGCTGCCTGGCATGGAGAAAGTGGGCCAGGGCTGGGGAGCAATTACCTGGCTGGCTGCAAATGCAGAAGTTGCCAGCTCCTCCTGTGTGAGCAAAGCCCTGGTTTCCCTATCCTGTCTACTGGCACCATGGAGAAATATCACAGCTTTCTGTTTTCTCCCAAACCTGTGAGGATTTTGCAGTTTTAGTAGGAATAGCAATATAGAGGCAGTTTATTTGCCTTTTATTCCTCATCCTTCCTTGTATAATGAAAATGAGGGTGGTTTTATGGTGCATTTTCATCCACATGCTCCTCTCTGACCACTCCTTTTTACTTGCCACTACTGCACATCTCTTACATAGTGGAAATACCTGACCCTTGCTATCTCAAAGGTAACCTCACCTTGTGTATCTAATGGGAAAGGAGGAGAGCATTAAGGTCTCTCTCAAAGCATTTTTGGCTCAAAACAGAACCTTAACTTAAGAGAAGATGCTGTTTTAGAAACAAAGGGTTCTCTTCCAATCTTTGGCTTATTTATGACAGTGTAACATAGCTGTCAAGCATGAAAGCTGAGTTTTGAGTAGACTTCCTAGCAGAAATCTCACTTCCAAAGATTGCTCATTAAGCTATGGTGGGGCAGAGTGATCTCTGTTAACAGGAGTTGTGCCCATGGCTTGGTTGGTAGGAAAAACAAGCAGAGAATATATAAAAGCAAGAGCCATGGGAGATCGGAGACTGAACTCCAAATCTCTGCCTTTCCACACTGTTTCTGCTGCTGCTGGTTTGAATCACTCACAAAGGGCAAGCCCTGTTCCACAAGCAGGCGTTGCTGCTTAATGCTGCGAGCAAATGTGACATTTTACAGGCTGGGTAGTTTGCAGCCATCAGAAACAAAGCTGTTTATCCCCTGGGACTGTGACTGGTGGGCTGGGACCCAGCAAGAGCAGACCCAGGGTGCTGAGTGCAGGGTGGTATCACACCCTGCCTGCGCTGGGGTTAGAGCCCTCCCTGGTGCACAGGTTTGCATTACTGCTGACCAGCCCCAAACTAATTGAGTTAATAGCTTAACTACAAGCAAGCACTTCCCCGCTTTCATGAAGCGCAGCTAACCACACATTAATTTCTCGCCTTCCTTGAGTTCTTCATGTGGCTCAGCACTATTCCCTGTGCTTGTGCACGCCTTTATTACAGAGGGAAGTTGCGAAATGATGCGGCTTTTGTGGAAGGATGCTCTCCCCTTCTTGCCATGCAGACCCAAAGCTCTGCTGGTGCCTGTTTGGAGGGGAACTGGAAGCCTGGCCCTGGTTTTTGTCTGTATGAGCATGTTTAGTATTCACAATGCTGTCTTGAAAAGCTGATTGTACTGCAAGGTCAGTGAGTAAAGTGATTGAGTGCAACTTTATCTCAATGCTGAAAGCAGTTAATTAACATCGATAATTTGTTTAGTGCAATTGCGTTGACAGGTCAGCCCCTCTCTCTAAAGAAAGCCTACATTAAATTTGAAATTAAATTGCCTGATACAAACAAAAGCGCTTGCTTTATTAGCAGAGACACTCTCTAGCTGTCCAACAGTGAGAGACAGGTTTGCATGGAAGATTATTTTTGGTAAATAAATAAAATGCAGGAGGCCCAAGTCTCTGGTTCAGATCCCATCATTTGCAACGCATGGCTGCTGCCTGCATCACTCACACTCCTCAAGACAAGACATACTGAATGTTAAAACTCATTATTTAGCTTTGCCAGAGCTTTGACTGCTACATAAATATGTACTGCACAGTCATTTTCTGATCATATGCAAGTTTATTACAGAAATAAACCACCTTTGTTATGAAAGGTGAGCAGCATAAACATTGACAGCATCAGTTGGGTCTGAAAAATGCAAGAAGAGTTTGAAAGGGAATGAAACAGTGTTGTCTCAGACTTGTATCTCTCTTGTTTTGGGCACTTCTGCCACCAACACACAGTCACTTCTTAACTGTTACTTCATGATGAACATGGGTGTTCATGCATTTTCTAAGTGCTATACCCAGGTTGTCAGGACTGGATGGCCCTGGGGCAGGTCAGTACTCAGGCCTCAGAGGCTTTGATAAAGTTAAGAAGGAAATCACATAAAATCCTAAAGGAGCAGCAGTGTCCTGCAGTTCTTTCCAGCCAGACTTTCTCTACAGGCAACCCCTTTTAAAATCAGCAAAACCCCCAATTCCACGGCTTCCCTCTTGCAATGAATCACCAAATGCATTAAAGACCTTGTAGGAGAATATGCCTCATCCACACACTGAGTGATGCTTTCCATAAATAGCTTATATACACTCGTTATATACAAAACATTATGTACAGCTAGCATTACTTTATTTGGTGTGAAGCTCTGAATACCCCTTGTGGTACTGCTCCCAAGATGCTGGGGCAGGAGATCACAGCAGAAGATGCTTGTGGTTGTGCTGCCTGAGGACAGGCAGCGAAGGCCCCTGGATCCGGGATGTAAAGTCCCTTTTCCAGAAGCCCCATCGCTCGTGGACACTGCTATTCCTTAAGCAGCCCCAGCTTCTTCAGAGCCTCTCGCCGGTTCTCATCAGTTGCGCCCTTGGGGGAGATCTTCACGCTGATGCGGGAATGGGGCGGGCTGGTGAAGCTCTGCAGTGTATGGGATCGCCGCTTGCTGCTCTTCTCCTGCTCTGCCTGCCCAGGCTCCTTCAGACCAGCAAAGTCTTTCCCTGCCCCGAGGGACGCCGGCCGGGGGCGGCTGCTCTTGAGGAAGCTCGGAGCGAGCCGCTCAATGAAGGACATCTTGCCCAGGGAGCTGCTGGTCTTGACGCTCTGCTCCTTGGTGCTGGCCATGTAGCTGCTCAGCCCCACGCCAGAGCGCTCCAGGGTGTTGGATTTGAAGTTCATCTGCCGGATTCCTGGCACTGACCTCTCCACTGCCCCACAGCACGCCTCGGGCTCTCTGGGGAAGCGGAGTGGCATTTCCCTTGGGTGAGGGTGTGTGGTAGGTTGCTCCCTCCTGTCCTGTGATAGTCCAAGCTTCTCCAATGCCTCCCGATGGGCTTTCTCCCTCTCCTTGGGGTCAAGGTGCCCCGAATTTGCCTTTTCGGCAGCAGCATCACTGGCAGAGCCGTGCTGAGAGCTGGCTGAGGGTGGAGGTACTTTTACCTTCTGGCCAGGCTCTGTGGTGAGCGGCACTGGGCTGTTTTTGCTGGTTTTCAGGATAATATTTGGTGGCAATTTTCGTGGTTTGGGGGCAGTTGGAGGCCCGCGCTTGACATTTGAGTCCTGAGGGGCCTCTTCCAACATGGATTTCTCTGGCTGGCCCCAAGAAGCCCACGTCTTTGTCTCCTTGGCTGTTTCCCTCTTGGCATCAGAGTGATCGCTACGTGACCACTCGTGGCTCACCAGGTCATCCTGGAAGGGATCTGGAGGCTGGATAATCAAAGATCCCAGGGACTTAATCTGGCTTCTCGCATTGGCTTGGTCAAGCCTGTCCTCCTTCACTATCTCCTGTGAAGATTTACCTGCTGGCACCGTGTCCTTCACCGTGTGAGCAACAGCTTTGCTGTCAGCAGCTCCATTTGCTCTTTGTGCACTTGCTGCAGTGATGCTTCTGGGGAGACTGAAATAGCCTGGGCTTGGGACTGATGCCGGAGCTGAGCTAGGGAAGGTGGGGATGCTCTTACCACTCTTCTGTTCAGCTGCACGCTGCTGGCCTATGCTAGGATGGGAAGCGCCATTTCCCATATCTAGGCAAAGAGAGAGATGTGAAGTCATGTACCATCCTACACATAGACATAGACACCTTCTGCAAGCCACACTGGGTGCTTGCACCCAGAGCTTACCCTGACCCCAGCTAATGTGCTGTCACTGCTAAGAAAGTCCAATACTTTGGATGTGATGAAGATACTTTGGATGTGAAAAAGCACATGGTGCAGGAGGAGCCTTGTCCTTGCTTGATGGCTGCCACCAGCTCCTACACACCAGAACCGGGAAAATGCAGGTGGTGCCCTACCAATCTCACTGCCTGCAGTCACCACTTGCTGCAGTGACAAAAACAAGCTGGCTTCCACTTATCACGTGAATAAAACCAGGGCAATGCTCCTCCCCTGCCTGCCAAGGAACGCACCCCAGTGTGAAAATCCCTTTGCAGACAAGGCTGGAGCGTGGCTTCCAGCTTACCCCGGGGAGTGGGATCTCTCTTGGGCCAGGTCCTGGGCAGCCTGGAGGGCTCCGTGTTGTTGGTCTCATCGGTAGAGACCCCGCTGTCTGCTTCCGCATCCAGCGAGCCAATGGTTTCTTCTAAGAACATCAAACACTCTTTCTCTTCCACAGATAAGTAGTCGTAACTGTTATCACTCTGAAAAAGGAAAAAGCAGTACAGGTAGGAGACACGGGTATATTATTATTATATTATACAGTCAGGGAGAGACCTGTGATAGCTCCTGCCCAGGAGACTTGGCCAGTGACTATTCAGAAACTGGTATGTACAGCTACAGAAAATTAGACAACTTCCTTTACATGTGTATATATTTATATAAATATAATATGTATATCTATAGTCTTAAGGCCATTTTTATATTACCCTACTATAAGCATCAGAAGATGGGTTCTCTCAACATTTTAGTTCTTTAGTTTACTTTGAAATATGAGCAGATGGGTAACAGGGGCAGTCTATAGATACAGACATCTGTACTGATCAGCACTGCTGTATCTTAGAAGCTTGTATTAATATCACAAATATTGACAACTTATCTGTGGGTGGTGGTCTCTCTCCGTGTTCTCCTATTCATACTCATTTTTGTTGTATTTCAAGTACCATGAGATACGATTGCTGTGGAAGTTGCAAGGTGATACATGCAATATATCATGAAAAATGTGAAGTGCAGGAAGGGATGGAGCATGCATCAGATCAACAAGCATTGAAACCGTTCCAGGTGGAGTTGTTTTGCAGAGACATCTATCCAAATCTTTTACCATGCAATATTGCAACCAGTTTTTCCACACCTAATAAATTTCAGAGGGTTTGGTTCTGGTTTGCAATACATCAAATACAAAACCTGTTCAAGACTGAGTGTTACCCTAGCACATCAGTTATGCTCCAAGTCAGACAGGATGTAATTAGTCCATCAATCTTGGAATCAGTGTTTGGAGACAAACAAGCTTTAATGGACAGATAGTGAAAAATTACACATTTACAACCATGGTCCAAGCTCAGCTCTGTCTTAACTAAATTAATCTCTTGTCAGCCAGGAGGAGCAGGACTCACTGTCTTTTCCAGGTGAAGCCACCTTTGCTGGAGCCAGTCTGACCCAGTTGTCCCACTGGTCTAATCCCTGGCTAGGGAACTCATCAGGCTCCTCCATCCCCTCCGTGCCGCTGGGCTTTCGATGTTCTGTCCCCAAGGAGACCTTGCAGGACCTGGGGTTCCTGCTTGCAGGACAGGAAGCCTGGGAATGCTCTGGGACAGGAATTAATTTAATCCCTGTGCTGACCTTAGCATGGGGCTGTATCAGGCCCCCCAGGTGCTTCCAAAGCACTGATGGAGAGCAGTTTGGGGCAGAAATCTGACCAAAATCCTTCCTGTGCTGCCAAGAGGGGTGAGTTGAGGGTTTCTCAACAGGTGCAGGGAGTTACTTACCCGCTGTGAGTGGTTGGAGGCTGTGCTGACCATGCTGTCACAGCTGCCGGAGTCACAGCCAGCCATGCCCAGCCCAAGCTCCTTTCTTGGCATATCACGGGCGTCCAGAACAGGGGGTGAGATCCTGGCTGAAGCAGAAGAAAGAAGATGGGTTAAGCTGTGAGACCCCACGGGGCGATTCCAGCACTGCAAAGCTGCTGGATGGATGCAAAGGGCTCAATCTTAGAGCTCGATCTTCTCCCTCCAGGAGAAGGGGCAGCTGGGCTTTTTTAAAGCATCCTCAGAAATGAGGTTTTTCCCAAATGAATTGGAAATAGGGTAAGCTCTGGACTGCCCATCCATGCCATCTTGTGTTGGTGGTTAACTAATAATCTCGGAGGTGCAGATAAGGTCATTCCTGAATGAAGGAAGATGCCATAAGCCCAGCTCAGCCTCGGAGCTCAGCAGCAGCGATCCCATCCCAATGCCGGCTCCAGCCCAGCTCTGCCCCGTGGGACCTCTGTGCTCCACCACACCCAACTGAAGGGCTCCTCAACTCCTGACCCTGCTGACCTGAAATGTGCTGCTTAGTCACAGCCTTGCTCTGCCGGCAGCTTCCTCCTGGAAAAGAGCTTCCCCTGCCACCCTTCCTCGGGGGCCATGAGGGTGTCATGGCTGTGGGGAGGTGTCTCTTTGCTGTTGTGGCACGCTTGGGTGTGTTTGGGCTCACTCCTGGCATAGTTTGTGCAGAGCAAGCTGCAGCATTCCTGTGTCCCCAGCCACCCTGGGGGTGTCACAGGCAGCACCCCAATGTCCACCCTGCTCATGGCAATGGTTTCTGGGTTCAGCCTGTACCCCCTGTACCAGTGGGACCCAACCATGGTAGCAGCTGGTTGACAAACCACCACCCCAGGCAGCGGAGGGACCAGTTATGCTCGCAGGGTGTGTGGCCGAGAGTGTTCCGCTGCCTGCAGGGAGAGGCTGGGCAGGCTTGAAAAGGCGCAATTACTTCTGGATGGAAAGCATTAAGCTTCCAAAATTCACTGACACCACCAATTACATGCTAGCTTTGTGTGCACCACCCATTCTGCAGGAGACGACAGCGGGGGCCGAGAGCAGCAAAACAAACGCCCCTGCTGACAGCCCCGGGGCCCACGCAGGAGGATTTGTGCGGCGGGGCACAGAGGGGCCCTTTGTGCCGTGACCTGGCCGCAGCACACAGGAACACACTGCTGCTTTCTTGTGTCCCTTGTAGCAGGATCAGGGAATTAGATCGAGCGAAAAGTGAGCAGAAGTGGCTGCTTGTTCAGAGGGTCAGACCCTGAAAGAATTCCTTTGTAACTGGAATATGCCACAAAAATCAAATTGTGACACCCACACCCTGACAGATCCAATCCTTCCATGCAGGAGGAGTTTAATATTTCAGTCTCAGCTTTGCATTATTTACTGCTTAAATCACATTTCGGCATGAAGAGGTATTAGAACAGCAATATCATTGATTCTTTGAATTTGGATAGCTTTATAGTCAGAGCTTTTAGCTCTGGTGCCTGAGTTTGACGGGTTTTTAGGCCTCCACAAGCTGCACCCGAACATTTGCAATGTGAAATATGAACTTACATCCAACAGCAAGAGAGCAGCAGTGTGGCCCAGCTTGAGTCGGGGATCTCAAAGAGCTGATTTCCCTGTGAGGATGCCCACAGGAAGAAATAATTTGCTCTCATTCCAGCAGTGTTTGCAGAAATGTAAAGCGGCTGCCGAAGCTTTGTGCCTGCCAAGCCCTGACTCACAGGGAGGCAAAGTTCAGCCCAGAGCTTGTCCGAGGCTGGAAAGGATCTGCGCAGAAACAAGGAGTTCATTTTCCTGCCCTCCAGTTCCCTGATGCGATTATGGCTCTGATGCCTTCATCTGAGTCAGGAAAGGGGGAAAAAAATCAGTGTAGAAAAATCCCAGTTTTTATGATTCAGAAAGATTTTACAGTTCCTTCCTTTCAATGAATAACATGGCAGTTCAGCCACAAACTAAAAATATGACTGAGCATTTACATTAAAAGACGTGGTACTTGAAAAGCTGGTTTTCAAAGGTATATACCTTCCCCCACTAGAAATGCTTTTTGAATAAGTTATTTTTCAATCTAAAGTAAAGGCCAGTTCGCACAGCTTTTGTGCCAGCTGCCATAACTGTCCTTCCCAAAGCTTGCTGAGCCTTCAGACATCAAAGAGGTGCTGGGTAGCAATTAATACTAATTGCTTTATATGAAGAGGCTACTTTTCTTCAAGCCCAGTGCTACTGCAAGTGCTCTGTCATGGCTCTCCAGTGGTGTTCAAGACCTCATGATTTTTGCTGTCTAAGGCAGAGCAGCAGCGATCCCTCTGCTTCTCCACTGCTGGCAAAGGGCTTTGCCCTGGCCAGCACTAAAACATGAAACAAAGTAAAACCCCGTGTGCAGGCACCATCCCAGCTGCTCCCACCTCAGGCAGAGAGGAAACGATGGAGCAGATCTGTAGTTCCTCTTATTTAAACAAGTAAATAGAGTGCACATAGCAGTTACCCAAGCACAAGCTTTCCCAGCCTCTCTGCTGGCAGCAGCTGGATCTCCTCTGCCACCACCTTCAAACCACCTCGTCCACCTTCATCAGTGCTACCTCCACCACTTTCCCCTTCCAAAACAACTTCCCAAGCCCCATAACCTGCCCAGGCAGAGACAATCAGCCCCTCACCGCAGCCCATTCAGCAGGCAAA